GCCATGGCTCCGCCGCTCCGCCGCCTCCTGCTGCTGCTGCTGGTTCACGGTGAGCGCGGGGCGGGCGGGCGCGGGTCCCCCCCGGCGGGGCGGGCAGCCGTGCTCCGCCAACGGGACGGGCGTGAGGTTCGGGGGGGGGTGGGGGGTGTGGAGGCAAGGACCCGGCTCCCCGGGGGGTTCTTCTGCCGTGGGTCAGGGTTGGAGGCACCTCCTCCATCCCTCTGGCAGGGATGCTTTTCTCTGGGGGAATGAAGGGGACCCGTGGGAAGCGGCACGGAGAGGGGATGTGCCAGCTGTAGGGTGGCTTTTTGGGACGGGTCATAGCTTAGCGAGGTTTCGGCTGCTTCGTCGTCCCCCTGGGGTCACCGAGGGATTTGACAGGCATCACCCCATCGCCTCCCCATGCTCCCTCAAGGACGAAAGGGGCTCAGAGGACCCCTGGGCAGAGAGACGCTTGTGGGTGACCTCCCGCCCCAGCACCACGCCACACAGATGGGGGCCCACACCTCAGCCAGGAGGCTCTTTCCAGCCAGGGGAAATTTGTCACCACCAGCTTGCAGCATGCTGGCGTGACGGGGGGGGGGGGAAGCAATGACTCATCCTGGCTCCTGCTCTGGTGCTGTGGGTGAGGGCTGCCAGACACCTGCTGGGGGCTCTACTGGCCTCATCCAACCCCCTGCGCGCGGGCACGGCTGCGGCACACACTCCTGGTGTGGGGCTGACAGAGAAGGTGAAGCATTTATCACAGAAATGTCTTCCTTCTGACATCAAAAAAAAAAAAAAAAAAAGAGGTTGGGAAGAGGACTGAGCCAGCCCAGACACCAGCTGTTCTCCAAAACACAACCCCCAGCAGCTGCCAGATGCCAAGGCACAAACTGTGGCATCAAGATGGGGAGCTAAAAAACCCAAAACTTGATTTGTCCACCAGGGTCTCAATAGAGTTTTCCAGTCTTGAAGGGACTGCTCACACATGGGTGATGCTGAGCACTCTCTGGGTGCTGGAGCATCCCTGGAGTCTATCAGGGAGTTGCGTTCCCAGCAGGCATTTCAGGAATTGCTATTTTGGCTCTTCCCTGTGTCTTCATGTTGACCACTTCCATTATCTCCCGACTTGGTTGTTTCTGGGCATCCCAGCTCAAAGCTCTTTGACCTTTCCCAGGTGCCACTGCCAGGCTGGAGGAAAAGCTCGTCCATGTTGAGAAGTATGAGATGGTGATGCCACGGAAGATGCCAGTGCCTCGGGGAAAGAGGGAACTCTCTGCACTACTGGTGAGTAGCGGCTTGGCACAGCTGCCCTTGCTCTTTGCAAGGGGTCCAGGGAGGTTGCTGCAATCAGCAGAGACCCTTGGCCCACCACTGGGCTTGGTGCTGGACCCTGTTAACCCTGTGCCAGAAGGGTGCAAGTTTTCTTGTGTTGCTTCCATCCCAGAGGATGGAGGTCTCGAAGTAGTTGATCAGCTCAGCTTTCCTGGACTGTTTTGGGATCAAAATAAGAACTGCAGATAGCAGGGTGGACTCTTGCCGGGGCGGGGGGGGAAGGGGGTGA